CTAAGAAGATGCACCATTTGGCATTCACGGGAGAACTAGAGACATTTTGAATCTACAGAATGAGGTTTTGTGTGGTGTGGGTTTTTTTGGAAGAATTAAAAAATGTTTACCAACACCAGGCCTTCACTCAAAAGTACCCCTGCCTTTTCCTGTTTTAATAACAGTGTCCAATGACAAAGCTAATTCTGTAACGTCCTTTGAAAACTTGCACAGCAACAATGTTGTATGAAAATGAATCTGAGTGGAAAAAAACACACACATTCGGGAGCACTGAGGTTTTGGCGAAAGTTAAATTATTTCATACTTTGCACAACTTAGAATCACTCTCAGGTGTGACCCTCTAGACCCAGCATTAATTTAAAATGAACTGGGCCCTTGAAATCCTAAATTTAACACTCTTCAGAACAGCACAGCCTCTCTCTCCTGCTTTATTGAGCAAATGAACTAAAAACTAGGGAATGGTCCCGTCTGGGGCTTTGAACCGAGACCAAAAGGAGATGAAATACTGTTTGATGCGCACGAACATTAGAGAATCCATTTTGAGTTAATAAAAGAATGGGGCTGCTTCATCTCCTGGGACAAAATATTCCCCTTTTCCTGACAATGTTCTCTCATTCCCACAATAGGGAAGCTGGTTCCTTCCCTAGGGGGTGGGGCCTGGGGGCGGGGCTTCCGGGAATAGAAGTCACCCCCACTTCCCCAGCTGCCTGGTGCTGGGGAATTGGAAATGCAAGGGGGGGGGGGACCTTCGACCTCATCAGACACAAGGCTGAGCTTGAGGCAGCAGGTAGAGGGTGTGACAGCAACAGCAGAGATGCATTATCTGCCACCTTGTAGCGCCCGGAATCTCTCTAACGCATTAGGAGCGTCAGGCAGACGGTTTGTAACACTTCGCCAGTCCTTCAAGAGCCCGGAAAGCTTTCGCCAGGCACACCCCGCCATCTTCCATTGCGGGAATGGCCTCACTCGATCCTTTGGTTTTTCAGACTTTCTCACATTTTTCATTTGTTTCCGTTAATCGATGAATCGTGGGGTACCTAGCCACGAAGAAATAACATTTTCGCCTTTCGAGGGGCCAAAAAAAAAAGAAAAGAAAAGAAACTAAAAGAAAAATAATTCCAACAAAAATTAAAAAAAGAAAAGCTCTCTTCCATTGTTTTTACAAAGTAAAGCAACCCTTTCGAATAGAATGTTACAATTGCTTAGTTGTGGACACTGACCTGGTTCTGCCATGGGAAATGCATTCGGACTCCGAAGCGAACCCTCAGTGTGGTGAGTGTCTGATCTCACGTGTAGCTGAGGTCTGGATGCTCCGGAAAGACCCGGATGCTCACACACCGGCAGCTCTGGCGACTGCAGGGGTCTCCATCACACCTTCAGGGGGGACCCTCCGCAGTGGCCTGCGTGTGAGCAGGGCTGGAGCAGACGCGCTGTGTCCGCCTGCCCGGCGCCCCTTCTCTGCGGTCCCTCTGCACGACTCCCCAAGTCTGGACGGTGCGCAGCCAGCACCAGACCCCTGTCCAGAGGAAGACACCTGGACCCATGCCCAGTCGGCAGGACTTGCTCAGAGCAGGACAAGAGCCTCAGGCCGCCCTGTGAGAACTACCCTAAGACCTTTTTATTTTTCTTAATCCTCACCAAGAATATTTTCCCATTGATTTTTAGAGAGAGTGGAAGGGAGGGGGAGAGACACAGAGAGAGACCCATTGATTGGATGCCTCCTGCACATACCCTTGACCGGAATCGAACCCGGGACCCTTCCGTCCGCGGGCTGACGCTCTATCCACTGAGCCAAACCGGCTAGGGCCACCCTGAGACTTTTGCTGCAAATACTGAGGGGAAAAAATCACATTCTTGTTTTCTCACTAGGAGTGAGCTGGGAGTAGCTTCTAGGAGCCATCAGACGGAAACCACTCGCTTGAAAATAAAGCCAAAACCCGAACACAGACCCTATAACCTTGGGTGGGGATCCGGCCATACCTTCCCTGGCAAGACTCCGCCCAAGTGGAGTCCTTAATAAACCTGTCTGAACTGGTCTCGTCACTTGCAGCTCAAAGAACCCCGAGTCAACATGTCAACACTGAATGTGAACAGGACTGCTTTAGGGTTTCTAGGGATGTTCCTCCTCCTGTACCCCATCTCGCTGACACCTCCCGGTTCAGGAGAGCGCACATCCGTCCACATTAGCCGGCATTTGTTATTGTCTGAACACCTCCCGCGTGGAGGAGCGGTGACGCCTGCCAAGGGGGTGAGCAACCTGAAGGTGGTGGCCGGGACGCCTCCCCTCCACGGGGGAAAGCGGAGACTCCGGATCTCAGGGCGCCCACTAGACACCCCCCGAATGAAAGAACGTGCGGAGTCCAGGAGGGCCAGGAGGCGAGCCTTGCGACAAGCCCCGGAGGATTAGCCAGGAGGCTCTTCAAAGAGCCCAGGTCAGGGAGGATGAGCCTCAGACAGGAGGCGCTCTGACAGTGGCTCAAACCACAGGACACAGAGATGCCTGGGGTCCTGTTAGATGTGCGGGATCCCTAGGTGGGCACAGCTGCTGCCACTGGGACAGGGAAGGAAGGAGGGGGCAGAGTTGGGGGGACCGCAGGGAGGCGACCAAGTCCGGCCAGGTCACCCCGCCTGCGGGACATGGAGCAGAGCCTGTGGGAGGACGGGTCCAGCCGAAGTGAGGCCGAGACTGGGAATGCGGGGTGAAGGACACGGGCATGGGGAAGGCAGTTCCGGCGTGGGCACTGCCCTCCAGAGCCCCATGTGAAGGGCAGGGGAGAGGGCTGGCCACCCTCTCCCCGGGGAGTCTTGGGCCTGCAGGGGAGCCCCGGGAAAAGGGCCTTCCCTCCGCCAGGGTGCGGCGCTGCTAACCATTGGCAAAGACAGGCTGTGCGGAGCCAGAGAGCACAGGGACCCGCCCGGTGGCAGGTGCGTGCAGTCTCATTATGGAGCCTTCACCTCTCAAATTAGCTCCTGCTCTCACATGAGGTGTCAGCGCGGCTGGCAAGGGCTTGCTCTCCAAGAGAAGAGCTGGAAAATATTTTCCTGTCGTTTTAACTTAGCATAAAATTCCTGCCAGCGCCCTGGCCCTTCCCTTTGTCCTGGCGGAGCCCAGTGGCCGCTGCAGGCCTCCGAAGGGAGGTGGGGTCAGAGATGACCACCCCTACACCCACCCCTCCCCCCAGGTAACTCTTTAAAGACCTGTCAGGGTGGCCACGTGACAAAAGAGATTGAGAGCGAAAGGTGTGGCTGTTGGCGATTCCAGGGCAGGCCTCCCGGTTTGGGGGAGAGCGTGCCCTAGGGGGCAGCAGAGGAGGCGCAGTCACCCCGCGCCCCACCTCTCCCCAGGTCCCCAGCTGGCCTCTGGCCACCGCCAGTTGCAGGGCTGCTCTGGCTCCTGGCTCCGCTGAGCACGCAGGTTCAAGGTCGCCCGGCCGGCCTGCCGTGACCAGACCAGAGCGCCACGTTCCCAGGTCAACAGCATCCCAGCCCGCCTCTGCTTGGCGGCCGGACCCGCGCTCTTGCTTTGGACTTGACCCTCCTGCCTTCGCCACCCAGTTAGCTGCCGGCGATCACCCTTCCAGGTCTAGGTCTTCCCGCACCCCAGGCTGCCCCTCCCCCTTCCGCAGCTCCTCTCTCCTTCCACTCAGCAAAGCTGTATTTTTACATTCAGGTTTGTGGCCTGTGTGTGTGTGGGGGGGGGGGGGTGGGTGGGTGTGTGTGTGCCCCTGTGCCTGTGTGCACGTGTGTAAAATTCCAAGTCAATGCCTGACTCGAACATTCACTTAGGGTCAAAATGACCGATGAAAAAGCGCCTATTAATGACCAGATGCTGGGTCTGCACTAAAGGCAATGCTGCGCAGGCCCCCGTGGACGAGCCTCGCAGTAAATAAAAAGTGAGGATGCGAAGGAGACGTTTTTACCGCAAGAGAACATGGGACCCAGGAAAAGCCTGCGGGCGACGCCAGGGCGCTTCCTTCTGCCCCGAGCACTGAACTGCAGGAGGATTCCGGGAAAGGCCTCTGGTCTCGGTCACCAACGCGGTCCCCCGCGCCTGCCCCGGGGCCTGGCACTGGGGCCTGGTTCACCGGATCCGGCCTTAATAAAACGCACTAAACGAAAGGAACGAACGCACGCTTTGATCTCCCATGGGCCCGCAGGAAGGTTCTTTCCAGTGGGCGGGCAAGGG